CAGCCTGTGGAGTTGTGTTTCCTGGTAATTCAGAATGGATGAAACACACCAAGCTATCTGTTCCTCACTTTTCAAGTGGAAATTATACTATGTCTAATCTTATTTCCTCCTAAAGTGGCTAAAAAAAAAAAATTTCCCCAAACTAAAAAGTTCTTTGTGGCCCAGTTTAGAAAGAATGGAAAAGACTAAGCTTTCAGGTCTAATTGTGTTTGGATACAAAAAGAGACACGTTCATTCAAGAAAGCATAATTCCTTTCTGGCAGAGCTGTGTGTAGGGTGAGCAAGCTCCCGAGTCAGACCCACAGGCCCTCTGGAGCCTGAATCCCACCCCCTGGGCCCTCCCTCACGTATCTGGCTGTCCAGAGTTGACCCCCGAGGCCTCCACTCGAGCACTGTGCCAGCTCTGACCTTTGACATGAAATCTGTGATGCCTCTCCTCAGAAAGCGTAACAAGGAAAACACGCCCAGACTTTTCGGCTAACACTTGGAGCGCTGCTGTCCTCTCTCCCCTTCCCTTCAAGCAAAGGAGACAACCAGCTTGTGAGTCTGATTCCACAAGATCTGGCACAGCAGATTTCAGGGGTTCAATTATTCCCACAACAAAATAATGGCTTTAAAAATGTTAACGAGCAATCTTGAGATGAGGAAAAGGCTCATCCAAGACCTCAGCTGTGTCTCCATTTGCACTTGAAGATGGAGCAGATGTAACTCAACAAGAAGGAAGAGCCTTGCTTGACTAACTGGGTTTGGTCATTTTCGTCTCCAGGGAAGAAGTTGGGACGGACATGAAGAATTTCCTTCCCAACATTGGTACTGGGAAGTTATGCTCTGCCAGGCAGGCCCCAAGCGTAAAGGGAGAGGCACCTTAAGTTTCAGAAAAGGTTCTTCTTGGGGATTTCTGTGGGGGGAGGTATGCAGTAGAGTGGAGGGAGATAAGAGAAGAGAGGAAGGAGGGGCAGAGGAGGGCCGTGAAGAAGACCTGGGGAGGGAGAGAGAGATGGAAGGGGGGCTATGGGTATAAGCTGGTCCATTCAATCTCGCGGGAAGCACAGACCAGAACGGTGGACTCCGCTCAGCGCTACTTCAATTCCTTACTTCTCTCCCTTTTTATGTTGTCTCCATTTATTTGAATGTGCGTACGTTATAAATGCCTATGAGGGGGACTGTATATACAGCACATATGATGGTTTGCATTTTTAAACTGCACACACATGTGTGTATGTGTGTGTATGGCCATCTGTCCGTGTGTCCCATGGGGTGGAGCCCGTGGGGAAGCCGTCCCTCAGCGTGTGTGTGTGTGTGTCTCATGAGGTGGAGCCCATGGGGAAGCCGTCCCTCAGAGTGTGTGTGTGTGTATGTACGTCTGTCCCATGAGGTGGAGCCCGTGGGGAAGGCGTCCCGCAGCGTGTTTGTGTGTGTGTGTGTGTATGTACGTCTGTCCCATGAGGTGGAGCCCGTGGGGAAGGCGTCCCACAGCGTGTTTGTGTGTGTGTGTGTGTGTGTGTGTGTGTGTATGTGTGTCTGTCCCATGAGGTGGAGCCCGTGGGGAAGCCGTCCCACAGCGTGCGTGTGTGTGTGTGTGTGTGTGTGTGTATGTACGTCTGTCCC